TGTTCTCTCCCAGTTCATAAAGGGGATATAGCCCTACAAAGAGGAAAAGTCATAGATGAGGCACATGACAGAGGAACCATATCCTAGATGGCCTTGCTTTGTAGGTTAAGGGACTTAGGCTTTATTGTGAGGCAAGGAATGGAGAGTATTTTAAGCAGGGGAACAACACAATCAAGTTTGCGGGATTTTTTTTTTCTTTTTTAGTGGCATCCTGGCAGATAGTCTGCAAGGGGGTAAAAATGGAGACAGATACATCAAATGGGGCCTGATTTAGACATAGGACCTGAATCAGAGCAGCAGGCAGGGAACAAAAGGGGAATATTAATGAGGCAGAATTGGCAGGACTTAAACAGACTAGATACAAGGAACATGAGAGAAGACAGGGATGACCACTCTCTTAGATCTCAGGGTTGGATAACTGAGCTGTCATGTTATTTTCCAAGAGAAAGAACACAGGAGGAAGGAGAAGAAATACTCATTTTTATATGCCGACCTTGAGATGTTTAAGCTCTGTAGTTACATTGCCTTTAGAATTTTCTTAACTAAAATATGGACAGTACGAAAACTGATGGTAGACTCAGAAGCTGAGATTACTGAGTTGGAAATATACACCCCCATCTCCTACATGCACACATTCTGCAAAAGATCAGAAAGCAGTAAATTCAAAGTAAGAAAAAAAAAATGTTCAATTTGGGGAGAAAATGATGTCTGTCTTGAGAATGTGTACTGTCACCTAATTTTAGATCTAAATTCAGAAATGCCAAAGTTTCTCAAAGAGAAAGATTATAGTTCTTGGCTTGAGCCATCTTCCAAACTGAAAACAGATACTCTTTCCACTACTAGATTAGCTAGCACATGGCCTGCTCCAGTATGCAATGTAATGCACTAAGGTAAGAGCACTGGGTTAAGAACTGAGAAGTCAGGTTCTGGAATGTTAACTCACTGTGCGGTCTTTGGCAAGTTGCTTCACTTTCCCCTCTCTACCTATGTCCATGCCGATAAAATGAGGCTGACACAGATGAGCTTCAAAGCCTCTTCATTATAAACACTTTAGAGAAACCAGTATGATTAAGCAGAGTAGTTAAAAACCAAACCAAAACAAACAAAAATAACCCCTTACAGTGTCAGAACCAGAAGAGATTTATAAAGTCATCTAAGACAGCAGTTCTCAACCTGGAAGTAACCATTCAAATGTAGAGGAAATAAATAAATAGCTATGTGAGAAATCATGCAGCTGTTCAGACCCCACCTCCAGAGAATCTGATTTTTAACTAAAATCCCAAGGAGTCTGATATAAAAGTCTTCATATTATACTATTAAAAAACCCAAACATTTATCTAAGAAAACTGACATCCAGAGTAACCAGCTAGTTAGTAGTAGACACACATCTTGTTAAATGCTTACTATATGCCAGAAACCATCTTTCAAGGTAAATACTATTATTATCCCTACTTTACAGATGAGAAAACTGAGATACAAAGATATTAACTTACTCAAGAACATATATCTGGTAAGTGACAGAGCCAGGATTCAAAGCCAGCCAGCCTGGCTCCAGAGCCTGTGTTCTCAACTACTAAGACATAAAAGCTGTGCTTTAATGAATACCAGGCTGACAGTCCAGCCAGGAGACAGAAATCCAGGTATGCAGTTAAATGGGTCTGGATATAGCTTCTAGAAAGCATAGCTTACTAGCACATTTTAATAGCCAAAACAAATCCAGCCTGGAGACAGAAACACAGGTACAAGGTTAAAAGTACTTGGAAATAGTTCTGGAAAGCATGGTTTAATACCAGATGTCAATTTTAAAAGCCAAAATAAATTAAGCATGCAATTTTTCTTTATAGTTTGCTTTGTAAAACAAAATCCTTTATGTATTTTGGGTAAAATAACTTACTGCAATGATCTAAGTTATTCTGTGATGGAGACTGGAAGAGCATATTTGCATACCTATTTTTATGATGAGGAAACTAGAATTGATTTGTCTTAAAGTCAGTTTCATAGAAGCAGAAAGTCACATCTGCTTAGGGAAAGCCAGAAGTACATCTGCATATCTTTATTACACTTCTTTAAGACAAGTGAAATTACAGCTGCAGGAAATAAACGACCTCCAAAATAATCAAGACAAATCAAATCAAAGAGATTGCAAGGTAACAGCGTCTCATTCCCAAAGAGCAAGAGAGCTTTTCCATTCATTCAGATCCTGCTCCACTGAAAATGATGTTTTTTCTCCATGTTCTCTCCACAGTAGCCCCAGTTTTCAGTTAGAGGCACCATTCTCTAAAGGCAATTTCTGAAGACTGAAGTGGCAGATCTCAAGTTTTCCTCTGTTAAAATCAATGCTGCAAGTAATTGTCCTATGTTGTATCACTACAGAAAACTGTAAGAACCTCTCATGGAACCTGGACAAATACAAATTGCTAAAACAATATAAGACATCATGTCATATTAAGTAACAGCCTAATTCCCATGTGCAATAAATGCTAGCAAATTCAGAGGAAGAACAATTCAAAGTAAGGCTGAAAGGAAGTTTTCCAAGAAAAACTTCTCTCCTCTGTCCCTCACTTCTTGGTTAATTCTGCCAAGTGCTCCTTTATGAGGCTTTTTATCTATTTCTGCTACTCAAGCTGGGGTTCTCCTTACCTTGTCAACCTATTTTTTTAGCCTTTTACAAAGAACATTTATGCAGATTATAAATTCATCTATTACATAACTTACATAGTATTACCTACACAATGTACCATCTACATCTACACAAACCTCTAAGTATGGGCATCAACAGTGCTTACATAAATAAATTTAAGTTCATGAATTCATGCAACTTGTTCAAGGCCATGTAGCTTTTAACATGCGGCACTAGAACTCAAACCTATCTTTTTATACTAACCCCTAAAATACTAGTTTGGTAGAAGGCCTTATTAGAAGGCTTCTAATTTCTACCTTCCCAAATTATCTGAATAATTTCCCTAAAACCACTTTATTAGTCTCAGAAACCTTCATCAGCTTCCCACTCTTACTTCAAGATGCCCATGCCTTCCTCAATCTGATCCTATCTACATGTCACTGCAGGTTTCTTAGAAAACAGCCCAGTTAACTCACTACCTGAGAAACATCTGGCACTGTCTGTATACCTTTGCTCAACGACACTCTTACCTGGCAAGCTGTCCCTCTCTCTCCCCCAGAATAAGGTCCCAGCTCCACTCTCAGACATGAAGTCTTCCCCTGGGGCCCTTACCATCTTATAAGATCTCAGGGATCATCCATCATTTGAGCTTCTGTAAAAAATACACATTTGAATAAACCAAATACTTTTTTGTTTAATATTCTAGATACCCCATGTCCCATAATCAGCTATACCAAGTACTTTCTGACAGGAATCTTGCCATTGCATGTTTGCGTCAGACACTATACGTTAGAGATATCATTCACATACATCACCTCATTGAATTCTCCCCCAAACCCTAACATTTCAGATGAAGGGAAGCTTAGTGAGGTTAACTGACTTACCAGTCTTCACGCAGTCCGAGTAGCAGATAATTTCAAAGCCCAAGTCTTACGTTTCCCAAATCCAAGTTCTTTCAATAACACAACAATGCCATAGGCAGTAACCACTGCCTTAGCAGAATGCCCATGATTGCTTGCTGGTGATAATCCGAGGGGAAGGAAGAGCAGGAGCGGTCAGTGGCACAGGATGAGGATGAGGTGTGAGGTGCTCAGCGGCACCAAAGCAGAATTTGTATATGAAAACGACCACAAATTTCCAATATTCTCACATGTCTTGAAGTAATTTATCATCACAACCCCTAAAACATGGTTCTGTCACTTAGTTGTTAAGGCTGTAAGAACCATGTAATTCAAAACCAGTTAACACTCAAAAAGAGAACGCAAGCAGATCTGGACCTGAACCTCTCAATTTGATCACATATTCATTTCTTAGCACCTACTATGTGTTAGACACAGGGACGTCTGAAAGCTATTTTCAATGAAAGGAAAAATCCTGACTATTTACTATATTAAAGATCCCATGATTAACATTTGTCATTAACCTGGCCCAGGACCCCACAATGAGAGAACTGGAAGGGACCTCAAGGTACATTAAGGCTAAGTCTCTCATTTTAAGATACAGGAAAAAGAAGCATATTTCAAGGTCACACAACTAATTAGAGGAAGAACCCGTACTAGGACCCAGATCTCCAGGCAACTTTTTTCCAAGGTGTTACCCAAAGGGCAAGAAGGGCTGACCTAGGAGCAAAGCTTTCCTTTTTCTCTTTTAGGCCCTTGTTGCTAGGACCGCAATTTAAAGAAAAAAAAAAAAAAAGCATGCGTGAACGGCGGGAGCAAGAGTGAGCAGGCAGCAAGCTCAAAAATCCAAGTCACCTAGTGCACTTGGTGACAGGTGGGAAGGGGAGGAGGAAATGAGGAAAAGGTGAAGAAGGGGAGAAGAGAAAAGATAAATCTTAAAGGCTTCCTGTCAGCCCAGGAGAGGAAGTCAATACTCAAATAAGTTCAGTATTCGGGGTATGCTGATAAAATGCCTAGAAATTTTCAGTAAGCAAAAGGCCAAGGAGGACTCTGGAATCTGTATCAGCATCCAGGTGTGGTGACCGTGTTGCGGAGTTTGGTGACTACTGGTTTCGAGTAACTGCATTCACCTCCTTCAGGCTTCAGTTTTTCCCGTCGGTGAAATAGGCACATTCAACAATGGCCCCCATCACCACCGAGGAAAAGCGACGGCCTCACTTAAGTTTGGGAATAATCAAATTACTCTAACAAGTTGTGGTGGCCGGCGTTAAGGACCAGGGACACTTCCGAGAAGGAAGGACGACCCACAAAGGAGAGAGCCGGGTTTGAGGTGTGGAGAGAGGGGGCTACGAACACCCATAGGGTTCCCGTGGTGGGCCCGACGAGGACAAGAGAAGCCGCAGAAGAAAAGGGGGGCGGGGATGGGGAAATAGGCTCGCCTCCCCCTCGGCCTCGCCAGTCCCCCAAAACCGGTTCCTCACCTTATCCAATAAACCGCTGCGGCTACTGCCTGTCCCGCAGCTGGGACCACCGCCAGACCCACCACTACCGCCGCCGCCACCGGCTCTCCCGCCCTGTGCAGCTGCCGCAGCCATCTTGTCCGCCTCAGTATCTCCCTCCCCTCTACTTGTCCGAAGCCGATTGGCTGCAGCTGACAGCGTGACGCGCCGCGCGGGGTCCATCGGGATTCGTAGTTCGGGGCTGGTGACGCGATATTGCCAGCGGAAGAGGCCGCGGGGCTTGCCGGGACTTGTAGTAATTAGAAGGTCTAGCCGCCGGTTGCTGCCTACAGCCGCCGCGTCGCGGTTACTAAGAGGTAGAGAAGGGTGGGAGACGCCACAGTGGAGCGGCTCCGAGATTCCCGGGAGGCTCCCAGGCGCGCATCCCGCCTGATCGGGACGTCGCCGCCGCGGACGCCTCGGAGGTGGAAACGACGCTGGAGGAAGGTGCGGCTGGAAACTAGTTTGGGTGAGGGGTTTGTCTCCCCCGCCCGAGTTTCCAAAGGGGCAGCAGGAAAGATTTTATTAAATCTTATGTTAAATCTTAAGAATGGCTAGGATTCAAGACCAATGACTCCCAAAAAGAGAAGCAAAAAGATGTAGATCTGAATCCTTCAATATGATCCCGTATTCATTTCTTAAGCACCCACTGTGTGTTAAGCACCGGGAAACGATCTCCAGACGTAGGGAGAACAAACGTATTTCAAGGTCACACAGCTAAGTTGAGGCCGAACCAGTGCTAGTACCCGTATCTCATTCTTTCTCATCCTTTTCGAGTCCTGTTGCAGCACTTATCCGGTTATTCTCTCTGGTGGCTGTCGTCTTGGCTGTTAGTAACGTTCTCATGTTAGAGAACTCACATTCACTGAATGCCTGCCTACTGTTTGCCAGGCAGCATGCTATGTGCATTTATATCCATCCTCTCATTTCATCTCCTAACAGCCCAGTCAGATGAGGAAACTAAGGAACTTATCCAAGGCCAGATACAAGGTATCAGAACCTGGTTTGGAAGCCAGGTTTTTTCAAAACCTGTGGTATGTTCCCTCTGCTGTTTTGCATTTACAGTTTTAGGATGTAATATTATTCTAGGTTTTTATTAATTCACTTTATTCCACAAATAACCTATTGAGCACCAACACTGCTCAGAAGTGTACTAAGGGATACTGAGGGATCAAGACACCTGTTCCGAACTCCAGTGGAATTCCTCCTCTAGTGACCTATAATGGAATTGCATTATACCACTTTATTTTTAATCCCCATAAATTCCTCGTAAGTGTCCGAATGATGGAACAAATACTTCCTGAGTGCTTGCTATGTAACAGTCACTGTTTTCATCCCTGGGGATATATCAAGGGCGAAATACCTGTCTTTACAAAGCTAATATATTCATGTGATAATCATCACTAAGTAATATTAGAGATTTCTTCACCTCTGTGCAGCAATCCAGTCAGATGCCTCTGTACTTTTTTATTGTTCATCTTTTATAACTTTCCATTTTTCAAGACCTAGCTCTAACATCACCTGCCCTGTTCTCTGATTCTTCTTTTTTTGCAGACAGAATTAGGAACTCCCTAGCATTATTTTCATGGTTCAGTCTAGTTCAGTAAACAGTCATTGAGTCTCTTCAATGGGCCAGATCCTGTATGAGGTGCTGGAGATAAAAATTTAGGAAGGACATAGGTCTGGCCTTTGGAGGGGCTCACAGCCCAGGGTCGAGTGTGTGAAGCCCCAGAGGAAGAGGCCGCGGGGCTTGCAGGGACTTGTAGTAATTAGAAGGTCTGGCCGCCGGTTGCTGCCTACAGCCGCCGCGTCGCGGTTACTAAGAGGTAGAGAAGGGTGAGAGACGCCACAGTGGAGCGGCTCCGAGATTCCCGGGAGGCTCCCAGGCGCGCATCCCGCCTGATCGGGACGTCGCCGCCGCGGACGCCTCGGAGGTGGAAACGACGCTGGATCAGACAGGTAAGCAGGCCATTGTAACAACAGTGTGGCAGAGTGCCTCCACTCCAGGGCAGACTGAGGTGGTAGCACAGAGAAGGGTCAACTCAAGGTGGGGGAGATACAGGAAAGCTATCTGTATGAGCCAGGTAAAGAAGAGGGGCAGAAGTGTGACAGGCCAGAGGAATGGAACAAGCAAATGTATGTAAATGAGAAACCTTACTCTGTGTGTGTTGTGTTGGACTGGAGGGCACTGCAATTAGACTGAGATTAGCCGCTTCTAGTTTGAGATAGACACCAGAGGTGGCTGAAGCTACCTAGGCAGGCAGCCTCGAAGTCCAGAACTTGGATTTTCTTTTTTCCACCCTACAGATAGTTCATACTTTTCTTAGGTTACTTTCTAGACAGTGTAACCTGGGAGTTAAGAGCCCTTCCTAGCTCATTAGTTGTGAATCCACACCTTCTCACCTAGTATTCTTCATAGGGCACTGGGATTTCTTGGATTGTTGTGTGCAGGTCTATACGCCCTCTACAAGTTTGAGTCTGATTCATCCTTCATATATGCATAACAAATATCTTTTCCCAGGTTCTATCTTTCAACTTTATCTTTGATACTGTTATTGTGCATAAATTTATTTTAGGTAGATAATCATATAAATAATCTTTAACTTCCTGTTCTGTGATTTGCGCATTTTATTTAAGCACTCAAGCCACACCCCACTGTCATAAAATTATTCTCCTGTTTCACCTTTCCATCTATGTCTCTGTCTCTAAGCTATCTATTTCTGGGATCTTTAGTCTTGTGGTATTTTTCTAGGCCCCAGGTGAGATACATTTTGGAACAAAGGGTCATAATAGGATATAATTAATGAGCAAGTCCAAAAGTTCTGAATGGCAGGCTAAGAAGGAGTGCAATATCTACTTTACAGGTGAAGAAACAAACAAAAAAAGAGGTCAAGAGGTCTTCCCCAAGGTCAAAGATCAAGTAAGTACTATGCAGATCAGAAGCAAGGTCCTCATCTCTGAGTAACTGGAGTCTTCTCCAATAGTCATCATCTCTAATATTCCTTGGCCAGCTACTTACTCATTCACTCATCCATTCACCTATCTAGCACATGGGTGTGGTTGGTTTCAAGAGAGATTTCCTGAAAGACATTGACTGAATGACTGTCAGTTTCCCCATTTACCTATCCATCCACCCATCTTCCCAACACATTTTTAGTGAGTTCTAGATGCTATGGTGAGGTTCTGGGATTACGTGGGTGAAAAAGGAATCATAAACCCCACAGCAGGTGGGAAATTGGTAAGGGGAGCAAACAATTATAGTAAAGTGGTAAGTACTACTAGGAGAAGTATGGGGTGTTGTGGGAACACATAAGAAGGGCCTTCAACCCTTTTTGGGGTAGTAAGGGATCAGGAAATTCACAGTGCCCATCAATCAACATCACTCATTCATTCCACAGATAATTATAAAATCTGTTACCTATAAGGTGCTAGGAATAAAGAAGTGAATACCACAGGTGCTTAGACTCTAATTAGGGAGATTAGGAATATGTATAAAAACCCTTGGGCCCAGGAGAACCTTCATTGTATCCTTCATTTGGCTCACACCTATTTATTGGTATTTCCTATGAGCATTCCCAGGGTGGAGGAAAGACAGTGAATTGGACATGTTTCCAGACTTGGAGGTTCACAGACCATAGAGGGAGCCCCCTCAGATTGCTAGTAATCTTATGGGGCAGAAAGGGCTCCAGCCATGAAAGAGATACTGAAGAAATATTCCAGGGCTTAGCCAAAGCAACAATTATTTCTTTCTAGAAGGTTCAGTGAAGGCTTTGTGGAAGGGGTGCAAGTGGACTGGGTCTACAAAGAAACTTTTTTTCTATTTATTATCCCATTCAGTTCTTATAACAAGTTTTTATCCTTGTTTTAAATTTGAAAAATATGAAGCATGCAGAGGTAAAGCGATCTGCCAAATTCGTCACTTAGCTTAGTGGTAGAAACTAGACTCAAACTTAAGCTACAAAATTGTTGCTTTTCCTACTGTACCACTCTACTTTTCATATTTGTCACTTCTAGGAAACACTTTCTCATGACACCTGATCCCAGTTGTCCACTCTGCTGCTTTTACTGAATCTTTTTCCCAACCCTCCATTTCAGGGTCCCATATTCTTGCTATAGCTTCCCTTCCTCTGGCTTACAGGTTCCCAAACTTCTGCTACCTCAAGTTTTCTAAAAGTATCCCGAAGAAGACTGGGGAATGGCTGGATCTCTTTAAAGAAAAATCTCAGATCTCTAAGAGCTCAAGGTTTAAGACATTTAGACTCTTGATTAGAGATTTATTCCTAAAGGAAGTGGCATTTGAGCTGAATCTTAAAGCATGAGATCAACCAGATGAACAAGATGGAAGAGGCTATTTTAGGCCAAAGGAACACCAAGAACAAAGATAGGGAAGATGGAATATGATTTGGGAATGGAAAATGATTCTTTCAGCCTGATGGGCAGGGCTGACTGGAGCTGGAAAGGTTAGGACATAGGACTCCGCAGGCCTTCAAAACCAGCCTCAAGCTTGCTCAGTGGGAAATCCAGTCAGAAGCCTAGCGTAGTTCTCTAAATGGGAGATAATGAAAGCAGTGAGAGACAGAGAAAAGGAGACTGGAACAGTGTCTCTGAGCTGCAGTTGTCATGACTCAGTGACCAGTTAATGGAATCCCATTTCACTAGCAATATTTTTGTCAGACCTCTCTTTCTAAACACAGCTTGAGTCATGGTGCACTCCAGCTCAGATATCATCCACGGCTCTCGGTCACTTACAGGGTGAGGCCTGAGCTCCTAGCCTGGCTCTGAACGCCTTCAGGAGCAAACACCGTCCTTTCCATCCACCCTTATTGTCCAAGACTCCTGAACACACATCCTTCCCCTTCCTGGGTCAGGCTGTTTCTTTACAGTGCCAGACATGCCTTGCCTGCCACCATGCACTGAGTTCTGTGACCCATTCTGTTTGGGATGCTTATTCTATCAGGAGACTCAATTCATTGCTCAAATCCTATTTATCCAATTCAAATGTCATTATCTGCATATCATCTTACTTAATATGTGAGCCCCCTCTTCCATGAACTTTGTTAAACCAAAGAACATTTCTACTAGCACTTAATATGTAGGAGGCACGACATTTCTAATTTGATCCTGTCATCTGTCTCTTAAGGTGTATGTTATTACTCCCAGTTCACAGGTAAGGAAACTGAAGCTCAGAGGGGTAGAGCAACTTTCTCAGTCATAGAGTGAGGACAAACAGCCAGCATTCAAACCAGGTCTGTCTTAGTCCAAAGGTGATGTTTTCTAGTGTTCCACAGAGTTAGGGTTGATTTGAACTGAAACCCAGGGCCTTGTTCCCTCTTCATTTAAAGGGCCAGCCCATTTCTGAAGCAGATCAGAGGCCTCTAGGGCCTCAGAGACAGGGTGGGTGTAGGGTGTGGTGGTCCGCTGGGCTCACAAGCTGTGCTGGAAAGAGAGAGCAACGCTGCCCCTCTCACTCCTCTGCTTGGCCCCCAGGGAGATGGCCTCCTCAAGAATCTACAAACTGGATGAGAGGAACCCTTACCTGAACAACTGCTTTCCAGCCAAAAATCTGCTTCAGACGCCAGAGGAAGGTCAGGTGATTTCTCAAATTGGGGCCTTTGCCTCACACCCAGCTCACATCCTACTTCAGAATGTCTCCCACATCCGTTCCTTCCTCTCCTGCCCCTTCACTACTGTCCCCTGCCCCACCCAGTCCCATCCCTTCCAATCCATCTCCCTCCAGCAGCTTCAGGGGACCTCCGAAGTGCACGTCAGACCACAGCCTTCCTGTTCAGTGCCTTCTCATTGCTGGCTCCTTTACCTGCTGTTCTGTGTTCAGAGTCTGACCTCCCCTTATCCTTTGCTACAGCCCCATTCCTTTATTTATGCCCTATTCTATAGTGCTGTCTTTTCACGGAGCTTTTTTTATGTGCCCAGAATGTTCCAGCCCTCATTCCAGTTATCCAGACTCTTCCCACCTCCACAAAACCCAGCTCTTCTCCCACTTCCTCCAATAAGCCATGTCTGGCTGTTCCACCCCAGGGTCCACCCTCCCTTGTGAGCTGTCTTCCTCTCTGTGTTTCTTATGTGATGACTAATCATATTCTGCCAACTCCTAAATAAAATGGCTTAAACTTGATTGTGCTAAGTATTTTTTCAAACATTTATCTAGTTAAAAACTCCCCTGGGGCAAGGACTCCTCAGTACACTGAGCAGAGCCAGATAGAACACTACCCAGAAGTCTGTGCTCACAGGATTGGAGTTGTTGCTTTGAATGGGTAGAGGAAGGGAGAAGTCCCCCTTGTTTACTTCAGAAGAAGTGACTTGTTGGGCTGTACATGGACTCTTCGAAGAATCTTCGCCTCTGGTCTGTCCTCCCCACTTCTCTAGAGTGATTTTATTTTTCACATACAGACCTTCTCTGGCCACCTTCCTGTGTGAAATCTTCCCATGCAGCTCTCATTGTGAACTCTCAATTTCACATCCACAGCCTCTCACACACACAGACAGAGAAATAATACTGCATGTTTTAGTGTTGGTATGTATATTTCCTAGCCCACTGAGACCAGTGGCATCTCAGTCACTAAATGCATACCTGGCACCCTAGATCTTGGTTTCTAAATACCATTCTCCAATAAAAGGAGCCAGGGCTCCTCAGAGAAAAAGCTGTTTCAGGGCTGGAGCGGGAAAAACACAAACTGAACCTGGAACATTGTGTGCTACCCCAAAGTACAGAAGTGCTCAGAAAAAGGACAGGGCATGTCGAAGGGACAGAGCCACCAACCTGAAGGAGCCACTGGCCAAAGCTGAGACAATCGAAGCAGCAAAATAAAGAATTGGGTTCTAAACCACAGACTACATAAATATATATACGAGCCCTAGCTGATATGAATAAATACTTGAATACATAAATAAGTGGGGAGAAGGAACAGCTCTTCCTTATGGTAGAATTCCTGTTAATAAATGTAAAAGGATTGGAGGAAATAGAAAACCACAATTAAAATGTCACAATAATAATTTTTAAGGCAAGAAACTTCTATGGATGCTATATTAAGGGTCTCTGACAAGAGATACATACATATATATATGTTTTTATATTCATTCATGTTTTTATGTGTATATAGATGAATATACATATTCATGTTCTTATATGTATATAGATGGAAAGACACACATGTACAAGTACTTTCTCTATATTTCAAGGGACTGGCATATGAAATGATGGGGCGATGAGTCTGAAATCTATAGGACAGGCAGTCTAGACCTCAGAGAAGACCCCAGGCTGCAGCCTTAAGGCAAAGTCTCTTCCTCCTTTGGAAAACCAGAGTTTTTGCTTCTAAGGTTTTTCAACTGATTGGGTGAGGCTGAGCACATTACTGAGGACAGTCTGCTTAACGTCAACTGCTTGCAGATGTTAGCATGTCTACAAAATACCTTTCACACACCTAGATTGAACAACTGCTTACCATAGCCTAGCCAAATTAACCATCACAGATGCTAGCATTAGTTAGTCAATGATGAGAAATAGGCTATTTTCACAGTCTCTAGGTATCTTTATTAATTACAAAGGAAAAATAATAACTTCTCAGTAGAGAACCAGGCCAACACCACCTTACTGGGATCAAAATTAATATCCCGAGTAATCAGACATCTTGGACACCAGGACATGATGTGCTGAGATGGTCGCGCAGCTGTGGTAGTGCAGCCGAAGTGCAAAGCCTTAATATAATTATGGGACAGCATCAAACAAATTCAAATTGACAGACATTTTACAAAATAACTGACTAGTACTCTTCAAAAGTGTCATGATCATACAAGAGAAAATAAAGACTGAAGAACTGTCACAGGCTGGGAGAGACTGAGGAGATATAACAACTAATAAAATGTGAGATCCTGGATTGGGTCCTGGAACAGAAAGAGGATGTTAGTGAGAAAACAGGTGAAATTCAGAGAAGGGTTGTAGATTAGTTATTAATATTGTACTAGTGTTAATTGCTTGGCTTCAATCATTACAACTATATAAGATGTTAAATTTAGGGAAACTGGGGGAAAGCTGTACAGGAACTCTGTACAATTTTAGCAACCTTTCTGGGAGTCTTAAATTATCTCAAAATGAAAATTATGGGGAAAAAAATCCTTCCTGTGGATACCTTTTCTGCTAAAAGCCTACCCCATGAGAACATGAGCTCCTTACTCAGGTCCTCCAGACATTTTCTGATCTGACTCTGCTGACCTCCCCAGCCTCACCTCTTTTCCCTCATGTTCATTTCCTGATATACTCTGGGCCTTCCTTCCTGCCTATGTTGGAAGTTTTGGCTCCAACCCAGCCTGGAGTCTGCAGGAGTCAGAGCTATTGGGATAGGATAAAGGTCCATACCCCAGATAGGGGCAGACATTTTACAAAATAATTGACTAGTACTCTATGGAGTGCTGGAGTGTCAGGCCCAGAAAGGGAATGGGAAATGGCTCACGTTAGACGTAGGCCAAGAGCTCCATCCAAGAGGCAGGATTGGCAGCAGTGGCCAGGTGAGCCAGGACAAGCTCTGGAGACAGGATTAGGGAGCTGTGCAGGAAGGGAGCTAATGACCCAAGGCACCAAGCTGGTCCCCACAGCTCTGTGCTGTTCTTCTGATCTTTCATACCTCTGAGTATTTCTTGTGCTCTTCCCTCTGCCCAGGCTGCCTGGTTTTCCCATCAACACCTAGTTAATGCTCAACTTACTAGATCTAGCTTATGCCCTAGGCTGGTAGCTCCCCACTCTGGGCTTCCACAGTACCCCTTATATTATTGAGCGCCTTTGAGTCAGGGCCTCTGTCTTACTCTTTTCCATAGCTCCAGCTCCCAGCACAGAGAAGATGCTCAGAAAAGCCTGAATGGATGATTGTGGGCAGGGCTGTAGCTCAGGTTCATACAGCCATTCATTCAGCAACACTCCCAGTGTGTTAAGCTCTGTGCAGGCTTTGGGAATACTGAGATGAATGAATCAAAGTCTCTGCCCTTGAGGACTTTCCACTCTAGAGGGCAAGATAGACAATAAACAATTGAACAAATAAAATCATTGCAGATTGCTCCTTAAAGCTTTCCAAAAAATAGAAGAGGAGGGAATACTTCCAAACTCATTCTATGAGGCCAGCAACACTCTAATAAAAAAAACAAAGACACCATAAAAAAAGAACATTATCCCTGATGAACATAGATGCAAAAATCCTCAACAAAATATCAGCAAACAAAATCCAAAAATACACCAAAGAGATCATCCATCATGATCAAGTGGGATTCATCCCAAGGATGCAAGGATGGTACAATGTTCGAAAATCCATCAACATCATATACCACAACAACAAAAAGGACAAAAATCACATAATCATCTCAACAGACGCTGAGAAAGCATTTGACAAAATTTAACATCCATTCATGAAAAAACTCTAAAAAAATGAGTATAGAGGGCAAGTACCTTAACATAATAAAGACCATATATGTCAAACCCACAGCCAACATCATACTTAACAGCAAGAAGCTGAAGCCTTTTCCTTTAAGATCAGGAACAAGACAAGGATGCCCACTCTCCCCACTTTTATTCAGCATAGTACTGGAGGTCCTAGCCACAGCAATGAGACAACCCAAGGAAATAAAAGGCATCCAGATTGGTAAGGAAGAAGTTAAACAGTCCCTGTTTGCAGATGACATGATATTGAACATAGAAAAACCTGAAGAATACACCAAAAACTACTAGAACTAATAACTGAATCCAGAAAGTTGCAGGATACAAAATTAATACACAAATTTGTTGCATTCCTATATACTAACAATGAACTAGCAGAAAGAGAAATCAGGAAAACAACTCCATTTATAATTGCATCAAAAAGAATAAAATACCTAGGAATAAACCTAACCAACAAAGTGAAAGACCTATACCCTGAAAACTTCAAGATACTCATGAGAGAAATTAAAGAAGACATCAATAAATAGAAATACATCCTGTGCTCATGGATAGGAAGAGTTAATATTATCAAAATGGCCATCCTGCCCAAAGCAATCTACAGATTCAATGCAATCCCATCAAAATACTAACAGCATTCAAGGAACTAGAACAAATAGTTTTAAAATTCATATGGAACCACAAGAACCCCGAATAGCTAAAGCAATCCTTCCTGAGAAGGAAGAACAAAGCTAGGGGGATTATGCTCCCTAACTTCAAGCTCTACAACAAAGCCACAGTAATCAAAACTATTTGGTACTGGCACAAGAACAGATCCGCAGATCAATGGAACAGAATAGAGAGCCCAGATATAAACCCACACATATATGGCCAATTAATAAATGATGAAGGAGCCATGGATATACAATGGGGAAATGACAGCCTCTTCAACAACTGGTGTTGGCAAAACTGGACAGCTGCATGTAAGAGAATGAAATTGGATTATTGTCTAACTCCATACACAAAAGTAACCTTGAAATGGATCAAAGACCTGAATGTAAGTCATGAAACCAAAAAACTCAGAAAAGAAAGCATAGGCAAAAATCTCTTGAATATAAACATGAGTACCTTTTTCCTGAACACATCTCCTTGGGCAAGGGAAACAAAATAAAAAGTGAACAAGTGGGACTACAACAAACTAAAAAGCAAAGGGCACCATTAGCAGAACAAAAAGGCATTCTACAGTATGGGAGAATATATTCGTAAATGATTTATCCAATAAAGGGTTAACATCCAAAATATATAAAGAACTCACACACCTCAATACCCAAAAAAACAAATAACCTGACTAAAAAATGGGTGGAAAATCTGAACAGACACTTCTCCAAGAAGAAATTTGAACGGCTAACAGGCACATAAAAAAAATGCTCCACATTGCTAATCATCAGGGGAATGCAAATTAAGACCACAATGAGATATCACCTCACACCCAGTTAGGATGGCCAACATCCAACAGACAAGAAACAACAAATGCTAGCAAGGACACAGAGAAAGGGGAACCCTCCTACACTGTTGGTGGGAATGTAAATTAGTTCAACCATTGTGGAAAGCAATATAGAGTTTCCTCAAAAAACTAAAAATAGAAATACCATTTGACCCAATAATTCACTCATAGGAATTTACCTGAAGAAAAAAAAATCCCAGAGTCAAAAAGATACATGCACCCCTACATTTGTCACAGCACTATTTTCAACAGCCAAGAAATGGAAGCAACCTAAGTGTCCATCAGTAGATGAATGGCTAAAGAAGATGTGGTACATATACACAATGGAATACTATTCAGCCATAAGAAGAAAACAAATCCTACCATTTGCAACAACATGGATGGAGCTAGAGGATATTATGCTCAGTGAAATAAACCAAGCGGGAAAAGACAAGTACCAAATGATTTCCCTCATCTGTGGAGTATAACAACAAAGCAAAACTGAGGGAACAAAACAGCAGCAGACTCACAGACTCCAAGAAGGGACTAGTGGTTACTAAAGGGAGGGTACTTGGGAGGGTGGGAGGGGAGGGAGGGAGAAGGGGATTGAGGTCCATTATAATCAGCACTCACAATATAGGTAGGTCACGGAGAAGGCAGTACAGCCCGGAGAAGACAAGTAATGACTCTATAGCATCTTACTCTGCTGATAGACAGTAACTGCGACAGGGCTAGGGGGGTGAGGACTTGATAATATGAGTGACTATTGAAACCACAATGTTGTTGATGTGAAACCTTCATAAGATTGTATATCAATGATACTTTAATAAAAAAATAAACTACAGATGCAGGAGTAGACAGATTCTAGAATATAGAATATTGTTATGGTCTTTGTTAGGTGGGCTCACTAGTAAACCTTATATTATTCTTTTTACTTACATACATTTTCTAGTTCTTTCTACAATGAACATGTATTACTGGTTTTTAAAAATTCCAATTGTCCTATAATTATCTTATCCTGAGCTCCTTACACAACCTTTCCCCTGTAACGATGAAATCCAGAGTAAGGTCAGAGAAGAAGGAGCCCACTGAGTTGACATCATTTATTGGCTTTACCCGAGAGAAGGCAAATGTTGGAGTTGCTAGCTGGCACAGGAAAGAATGATCAGCTCTATTGAGGGAGTCAGGGAAGGCTTCTCAGAGCAGGGAATAGTTGACATAGGGTCTTGAAAGAAAATCAGCATTTGGAGACTAAAGTGTAGAGGAAGGAATCAGACAAGTCATTCTGTCTCTTTGAGTCTTAGACTTTTCATCTGTAAAATGGGGACAGTAACATGTCCTTTGCTAGGTTTTTGGGCCACTTAAATGAGATAGGTATGTAGATCTCCATGTCCCCCACCTCACGCCAACAACAGAACAGCTGGTATGTACTAGGTAATGAGCTATTTTTTTTTGGTTTTAATATTATAAATAAATATTCTGTAAGGGCACTAGTTGTAGCTTTGGAAGAGTTTGCTCTTTCTAACTGGTCTGATCTTCTCAACAGGCCGAGGACACTGGTTAGTGGCTCGGAAATGTAATGTCAAGAAAAAGTCCAAGGGTGTGGTTGAGGCACCAGCTGAAGGTCAGGAAAGCCCGAAGAAGGTTTCTTTTGAGGTCAGGGGGAAGAAAAGGTCTCAACGGGGAAACCAAGAGGACATTCCTGGACGTATGCTGGACCAGGCTTTCCTGGTAAGAGTAAAAGCATCCTGGAATGGCTGGCTGGTGTCTGTCTTGGTTGGGGGCAAGGACTTGCCTGACTCCCCTCTGGTCCAACTACCCCCAACCACCCCCAGTGATTAGATTTCAGGAAATTGAGTACAGCCAGACAATGAAGGGCCCCAGTGCTTTCTTTATATGTAAGTTTTCTTAAAACCACTTTTGAGATAGGTGTATACTGTGTTATTATTATGATGTTGCCATTGTGCAGATGGGGAAACTGAGACCCTGAGAGGTAATTGGCATTGGCCAAGGTCCCACAGTTAATAATTTGGACTCTGGTCTACTCAGGATTAGAACTATTTAGGATTAGAACTCTGGTCTACTGACTCCAAAGGTTGTGCCTTTACATTATGTCAGATAAAAAAAAAAAACCCTCTTGAGTTGGAGAAGCAAAGGAGTAAGTCATGGGGAAAAGTAAATTAAAATCACATTCCAGCACCTCATAGGGTGTAGAGATTCCTGCTCCGTTCTGGGGAGTCCTCTCCACGAATGGAGTGATTGGGGAGGTCCCACACTCCACAACCTTTGTCCTTTGGGTTTGGTGTCTGGCTGCCAACCAGTCAAGGGGCTCTCCCCAGATAGTACCAATGCCTGTGGCAGGCTTTATGAAGAGGACTAGGCAAGCTGTGATGGAGACCAGCAGGTAATTTCACATCAGCTCTGTGCAGTGCCTCAGTGGCTTTGCAAAGAAAGACACATTTTGTAAACCAACATTAATGTGCAGTCCAGTTCTCATAGCTTCCTTAGAAGAACTCTCTGGCAGCCTCCTTTGTTCCCAGGTTCTGCTTATGGTTCCAAAGAGATGGGTTTCTCCACAGATAAGATTTTGAAAGAGAGTTTTGAGGGGTAGTTGGTTACATCTCACCTCAAGTGGGTAGTGTAAGCTTTTCATAGAATCCTGGAGGTTTTCTTTCATTTTTATGGCCACTTCTCACAGCAGGTTAGGAGGACTGAAGGACAGTGCTGAGGAAGGGCAGAAACACTTTCCACAGAGGCCATCTTTCCCCTTTGCTTACAACAATGCACATTCCCACATTAAGGGAGGTGGCGTGTTACCTTGTTGCCGCTTTGGAGAGCAAAAGCTTCAGGGGTGTTTTTCAGAGGGATGGGATGCCAGCTGCCTATTGGACAGCTTCACTTGGATGTTTTATTGGTACCTATATTGAGCGACTGCGCCAGCCCCCTTACTCCAAGTCCCAAAACATACCCCTTTTCTAGTGTTTGCTATACCACTTCAGTGATGGCACTACTATCTACTGGGTCACCCAGCCAGTAACCTGGGGTTATCCTTGACACTTGCATCCCCTTCACCACCACCCCTGCCTACCATTTCCAAGCCCTAGCACCTTTATTAAATAATTGTCACATCTCTATGCTTTGCTTCATCTCCACCACCGCCACCCTAATCTGGGCCACCATCACTTTACTGCATTAATTCAGTAAATTCCTAACTACTTTGAACCAACTAGGATGCTTTTATTTCACACAAAAAGAGGCATTGTTATCCCCAGGTAGATTAATTTACCAATTTAATGACATCTTCCAAAGCCTAGGTTCCTCCACCTTTCTGCTCTTATATCCTCAGTATGTTAACTTGTTCTCTTGGGCTGATTGCCTTCATGACCCCAAGATGGCTGCAGCAACTCCAGTAATCACATATAAAGGATAACATCCAAAGGTAGAAAAGGAATTGCTACTGTCTTATGTTTTAAAGGAAGAAAAAGCTTCCCAGAACTGGCCTCCCACACCCAGCAGCCAGTGTCTTGTTTGCCAGACTTGTATCATATGTCTCAAAAGTCAATTTTAGGTTAGAGGAACATGACCGCCATGACTGGGTTAGACAAGTCAAGACTTATCCCTTGGAGCTGGAGCTTCAGGACACATCCATTCTAAGAAACATGAATAACATTGGGGTTCTTTAACAAGGAAGAAGTAGAGAAATGGGTCTAGGGAAGAACATTAACAACAGCTGGTACATGTGTCTCACTCCTGCCTCTCCTGTTCTCTCATCCTTTCTGTGTGTATCAGACATAGCAATTTTTATGAATTTGCTGTCAGGCCACTGCCAAAAAACCTCTGACAACTTTCTTTTGACTGGGATTAACCTACATGCCTTTACAGAGCCAACATGGACTCAAATGATCTAACAACTGCCTCCCTAGCCTCGTCTTACTGTTTTTCATCCTCTCAAAAAGTGCCTTGCTTTTTCCTGCCTTGATAGCTTTCACAACCCTTGCCACCCACTTTCACAGGACCAAACTCCTACTTAGCTCTTAGGTCTCAGCCAAAATATTATTCCCTCAGTAAATATTTCCTTACTTGCAGACTGAGGTTAGGACCTCCAGTTACTGTCTCTATAGCATCATAAATTTCTCTTTTAAAAAATCATCACATTTATAAATATTCACTTGCTATTTGGCTTTCATGCAGTTGCAAATGGGATATTTCTGCCTCTTCATTATTTCCCAATGACCAGTTCATATTTAAACATACTAGATACCATAAGTAAGTGATTAACAGGAAAAAATAATGAGGTTTGGCTACACAGAACTAGAAGCTTCAAAGATGATATTTTATTCTAACATTTTAATTTTGAGGGGCAACATATGGTAGTCAAAAGAGCACAGAGTTTAGTGATTATCGATTTGGATTCAAATCACATATCTATTACTTACTAGCTATGGGGCCTTAAGCAAGGCAGTATGTGTCTCTTAGCCTTGTTTTTTTCATTTAAAAAGGTAGATAATCATACTTATGTCAAAGGGTTTAATTAAGATTAGAAGAAGGTTTGTTGATGTATTTAGCACAACAGTGGCCCAAAGTAGTGCCTAGTAAATATTTGGTGAATGAATGAATGAACAAATGAGCAAAAAAATTATGACAAATGTAGGAGATTGGTAAAGCCCCAGAAATACAGATTTTTTTAAGATCCAGGTAGAGGAAGTAAGGCTCAGAAAAGATAGAGAAGGGACAGAGAGGAAGGAATCCTCCTAAGAACCCTATAAAGTCAGTGTTACTATCTCCATCTTACCGATGGGAAACAGGTGGAGAAGTTGGGATGGCAGGTTGGTTCTGAGCAACTCCAAAGCCCGAGCTCTTTCTACTGGACCAAGCCACATTCCTTGTCAGAGAGTCATTTGTTGTCTTGGCCAGTCACATAAGCTTTGCTGGGGCCTGGAGAGCTGACCTTCTGCACTGTATTCCAGCTGAAGCACCACTGCGTGAAGAAGCCATCAGACCTGTGCAACATTAATGTGAGTGGCCTGAAGTTCTCCAAGGTAAGGCCAGCCCGCAGAGGCGTAGTTGGGGTGAACCAGAACTGAGGTGGTTCCTGACTTCTGTCCATTGTACCTCTTGGGGACTGGGAATCTGGTCACAAAGGAGAAGGAGGGTCAGACAAGGGCTCATTGGGTGGAAACAACATTCAGACACAATATTTTACTGTCAGTAGGGCATTACCATGTTCTGTGTGAGATAAACAAAATAGCCTTATGGAAGTGGGTTTGAATTTGCCTTAAAACTTTGTTGTGGCATCATTTATTGTGTGACACTGAGTCCCCATCAAAATCACCTTCAGGAAACAACATGGACGGAGCTAGAGGGTATTATGCTCAGTGAAATAAGCCAGGCAGAGAAAGACAAGTATCAAATGATTTCACTCATCTGTGGAGTATAAGAACAAAGGAAAAACTGAAGGAACAAAACAGCAGCAGAATCACAGAACCCAAGAATGGACTAAACATTACCAAAGGAAAAGGGACTGGGGAGGATGGGTGGGAAGGGAGGGATAAGGGGAATAAGGGGCATTATGATTAGCACACATAATGTAGCAGGGGGTGGCATGGGGAAGGCAGTATAGCACAGAGAAGACAAGTAGTGACTCTATAGCATCTTACTACACTGATGGACAGTGACTATAATGGGGTATGTGGTGGGAACTTGATAATGGGGAGAATATAGTAACCATAGTGTTGCTCATGTAATTGTATATTAATGATACCAAAAAAAAATAGCCTGCAGGAGAAATTTTCTGTTTTCAGTGCCAAGAGTGGTAATTGTTCTCCCAAGATGCAGGTTTGTTCTTAACTTGTAGGCACTGTGACCTCATGAGTCATATTTCTTTCTTTGCATTGGCCAGTAGGTAGCTCAGGGCCATATTTGTGGCCTGTCATTAGCCAATGTATATACAGGATATTATGGCATATATTTTTGGTTTGTAGGTCCTCCATGGCATATAAAGAGAGATTGCTTGTGTAATACTACACAGCAATTAAAATGAATCAACTAGAGCTACATGTGTATCAACATAAGTAAATATAAAAACATCTAGGTGTATCAACACAAGTAAATCTCCAAAACATAGTGTTGAGTGAAAACGCAGGTTGCAGAATAATAAACTACAATATGATTGCATTTAATAGAAAGTTTTAGAAACATGTTAATAATACTATATATGATTTATGGATACACATATATGTAATAGAAGTGTAAAAAAGGTGTAAGAAGGGTAACCAGCAGTTCAGGACAGCTATTTTCTGAGGGAGATGAGGAGGAGAATGTGATTGGGGAGAGTTATGTGGCATGGGGGGAGAGGGGGCTCAACACTCTGTAATGTTTTATTTCTTTAAAGGAATTTGAAGTAAAGACAACAAAATATATTCAGACTTATTAAAGCTGGGTCGTGGGTACATGTGTCTTCAGGGTATCATTCCCTATACTTTTCAGTACATTTGAACAATTTCATAATAGAAAAGAAGCAGAAAAGCCCTTGCAGTCCTCGAGAAGTGGCTGCTCCTGTGCCGTGATGTGTGCCATCTCTTTAGGTCTTTGCTCCTTCTGACAGCAGCTCTGCAGCTTCAGCATGGCCTCTGTGCCAGGAACTAATCTTGTGTTCTTTCCAAACGTCTTCCCACAGGCTAAGGAAAAGGATTTCAAGCATTTTCATTCCGTGATTTACATCAATGCCTCAGAAAACCTGCTGCCTCTGGGTAAGCTTTTCTTCCTGAAAACTACTTTCTGCCTCTTGGCTGATGCAGCCAGTCATTTGTGTTAGCGTATCAGTTGCCTGTCAGTCCATCCATGCATGACTGGACATGCATCTCTTTTTTTGGAGTGCAATAGGCTGGGTGCTGGGGAACTCACAGACCTGGACTTCAGCCCAGAGCTGGCACTACCTGCTTAGAACTTTGCTCATGGAATTGCTGCTTCTGTATCTGTACATGGAGATAATTCTCTTCCTTTCTTCCTCCCCAAGGCAGGACCCCTTGTAGGCTTAGAATGAGATAGGTATATAAAAATGTTTTTAAGTCCGTAAGAGCTCCTTTAGGACTTGTTTATTCAGCAAATCCACAGTGCCCCCTGCTGGGTGTCAAAACTGTGGGAATGGGAGAGTAAGGGAAGTGCAAAGATAGAGGGAATCAGAAAATGCTATGCAAGTGTGTAAGTGGGACATCAACCAAGCCAGAGTGTCAGGAGAAACTTAGAAGAAGAGGAGCACCAAAGCTGAGACCTAAGAAATGAATAGAAGGGACTCAGCATTTCAGACCAGTGGAGCAGATGTGGGACGGCAGAGCCTGATCAGGGACTGTGAAGACGCTCTGTAGGTTTGCAAGGAAGGCAGGGAAGAATGGAGACCAGGAGGTTGGCAGGGGCAGATTATCGAGGGCCCTGAGTGACTTGGACTAATCCTGAAGGCAAAAAAGAGCCCCGGAAGGCTATTAATAGAGAGACTCAGTGGTGGCTGTGAGGAGGGTGGATTATAAGGGAAGGAGATGGAGGCCAGGAAACCTGGGAGACAGTTTCATTTTTTCAGGGAAGCAGGGGTGAGGCCTGAACTAGGACTGTGGCAATAGAGGGAGGGGGATTTAAGAAAGCAAGATTCAGGAGGAGGTAGAAATAACAGGACTTGGTAACTAATGAAAAGAGGGAGAAACCAAGGGGATCCACTGAGACAGAGAGCCCTGGAGGAGAGGCAGGTTTGTGGAGAAACAGGATGACTTAGTTCAGTTTTGAATGCATTGAGTTTGAGGGGTGTTCTTAAAGACACATGTGATGAATCCCTGCCCTTAGGAAACAGTATGCTCTGTCAGGAACGTGGGCTTGAAATACAAAGGCCAACAGGCATATAAAAAGATGATCAACCTCATTAATGATTAAAACAGCATCAAAAGCTATTATCTGCCTATCAAATATTGGCAAAAATGAGACTGTAGGGTGATCGCCAGCACTGGGAAGGAAATGGGTACTCTCTTATTTAGCTGGCAGAAGTGAAAATATTAGTGCAATCTTTGGAAGGCAACTTGATAATGTCTCTGAAAATAGACATTGCTTTTAATCTAGCAGTTCCACTTACAGAATGTATTCCACAGAAACAAACTTGTACAAGGATGTTCATTGGAAATATCCTGAAATAACTACCAGGCTGTCTTTTTTTGGTCTCTACTGAACATTCTGACTATCAGACCACCAGAGGCCACACTCGACCCCAGGCTCACTTAGGAAGCTCTAAGCCATTCCACAGTGTGTCAGCAGCACGGCCTCAGGAGGTCCTTTCCCAGGGCGTCCTCACAGCCCTCCCGTGCAGCCATCACAAGCCATTCTCTGTGGCTCCCAGCTCAGGTCCAGGGCATTGAGATTCATTGGTGGAAGCAGGAGCCACTCTGGCTTAGAAATCTTGCTCCCAAGGGAGCAAATAGCCATTGTAACACTCTACATAGTTCCTAGAGTCCCTGCCAAGGGCATGTCCAGTTATAGGAGACCCAAAGTTATGGTTACCCTCCAGAGGTTTAGAGTTCATTTACATTTTCTCCTAATCCAGTTGTGATTTTCCAGTCTGTGGTCATTTTTACCACAGCAGTGCTGCCTGTGTTACTGCACTATATGTTTCAGTTACCAGGGGAACCGAGCTAGAAAGTTACAAGGTCCATTTCTCATGCAGAAGAGTGTTCTTACCTTTTATTCACATAGCCTAAAGGCTGTCAGTAGGGAAATGGTTAAATGAAGTAGGGCATGGCTACACTATAGAACATAATTCAGATATAATGCAGATGTATATGTTTTGATATGGAACAATCCTTAAGTCATACTGTTAAGGGGGAAAAAAGTAAGTCACAGTACAATGTGTATGGTATGATTCTATTTTTGTAAAAAAATAAGTGTGGTGTGTGTGTATGTGCATTTCAGTATATACATGAGAAAAAGTCTGGAGTATTACACATGAAATTCTCAATACTTACTTATATCTAGCTGTTAAATTAAAGGGATATTTTATTTTGATTTTTGAAGGTTTTTTTTTTGGTGGGCATGTTTTACTTTTATAATCAGAAATAATAAAGAAAAGTTTTAATGGACTTTGGAGTTAGCCTTAGATTCAATTCTTGGCCCTTCCACTTACTAGCAATTCCATTCCTAGCAAATCACTTGGCCTAGCTGAGCTTTGGTTCCCTCAGCAGTAGAATGGATGCAGTGATGCCTATTTTTCAGGATGTTAGAGATTTAGAGGGCAGGTATATAGAGAGCCCAACTATTAAGCCCAGCCTAACTCAGTAAATGATGACTGGTAATATCTTTCTCTTAAGTCCTTCACAAGCTGCAAATTCTTTCTCCTTTCCATAGAGGCATTTCACACGTTTCCAACCTTAAAAGAACTGGATCTTGCATTTAATGGCATCAAAACCATCTATGTGAAATATGGAGACTTTAAGTTCTTGGAAGTAAGTTGGAGGTAGGGAGTTTTTGGTGCCACCGTTTCCCTGTAGGGAATGAGTGTGGAGGTCTCCACTGATTCTAACTGTTGGGAAGGGGCTCTCCGGGCCTTTACAGCCAGCCAGGCCCTTGCTTCAGGGCAATCATCTGGGTGGTGGGGTTGCTGGTGGTGAGGAGGGTAGCGGTGGTGGTGGTGGTGGTGGCAACAGTGGCAAATAGATGAGAATATGTTAGACCGGTGGCCATGGAACATGGTCCAGAAAATAAATGCCAAAGGTCATGCCCAAAGGAGTCTGTGTGCAAAAAAATGAGTTTTATAGGAAGGAATTGAGGGGAGATCTGGAGCCAGAGGGGCCTAAGGAGCCATGGAAGTTAAGTGAGCTGGTCTGAGTGAGCCAGTCTGGTTCAACGGGCTGGGGTAAGGCAGCCTGTAGGCCTAGTGCATAGGCCCAGAGATGAGTGTGAAATGAAATAGGGCTCCTGTGAGTTATATAGCAGACTCTTGACATTTGTACATTGACAGCTATGAATGTACACCCCAGATAAAAAATTATAGAAAAATTTGTTTGCATTCTTGGCTTTCTCCTAAATTAAATTTCCCATAGTTATGCATTTTCTAATCATGTTCTCATACTTCAGGTTAATCAACTCTTCACCTTCCATGTAAACTTTCGGGCTACTTTTCATAAAGAAACAAATCTCTGTCACTACCTGAGAGTCGCTGTGTACATAGAGAGTAGAGAACAACAGAGCTGGAGCGAGGTGTGGAGCTGGGCATCTGACCAGGCTCACTTACTGAATAATGGGCTCTTCCCCACAGGTTGGCCTTACAGAAGTGTTTCAGATTCAAACCTCAGCAAAATGTCTGTGTGTCATGAACCTTGCGATTGATCCCGAATTGTTGTGACTTAAATTATTCAATCTGCAAACATCAAGGGTCTGCCTCTCTTCGCAAAAGCCTTACTTACTTAACTTGGTCTTCCCAGATAGACAGAGGGAGACAGATTTCCTACAAGTGAATATTTCAGAGAGTTGATACCCTTTATATGCCCAAGTTTTAAAAGGTTTTAACTGCTTGGGATGGCAATCTTCTTAAAATGGATTATATGTCCTTGTATTCTTAAAGCATGCTATACTGACTGTAATGGTTCCTTCTCTCCATTGTTTCAAGTCATACTGAGTATAACAGTGATTTACTATGATTTGGAACAGGAGTGGTCCTCAGACTTGTCCAGGAAGCAAAGCTCTTGAACGTCCGATAAAACAGAGAGGGAGTAAGTTTACGACAACTGATGCAATGCTGTGCTGTGTCAAAAATAATTTATACCAAATTTTAATATGAACAGTGGGAAATCGGTTCTCAATGCTCTAGAGATAGAGGGAGTCATTTCCCTGATCTATAGGCCAGGGAGCTTCTTATGGACTTTCCTTTTGTTTTGGTTATTTTACTTTATTAAAAAGAAGTTGTTGAGCTCCTGGTGTGTTGTATACTGTGCCAGGCATCATGTCTTCCTCACCTCTACCATTTCAACCCATGTGTCAAGTGCCAGTGGGACACATGGAGGGGACGTGACTACAGTCTTCAACCCCACGCACAGCTGACTACGTTAGATCTACTGGTCGATCATGATTGGCTTTTGGGGGGGTTTGTACATTGACAGCTATGAATGTACACCCCAGATAAAAAATTATAGAAAAATTTGTTTGCATTCTTGGCTTTCTCCTAAATTAAATTTCCCATAGTTATGCATTTTCTAATCATGTTCTCATACTTCAGGTTAATCAACTCTTCACCTTCCATGTAAACTTTCGGGCTACTTTTCATAAAGAAACAAATCTCTGTCACTACCTGAGAGTCGCTGTGTACATAGAGAGTAGAGAACAACAGAGCTGGAGCGAGGTGTGGAGCTGGGCATCTGACCAGGCTCACTTACTGAATAATGGGCTCTTCCCCACAGGTTGGCCTTACAGAAGTGTTTCAGATTCAAACCTCAGCAAAATGTCTGTGTGTCATGAACCTTGCGATTGATCCCGAATTGTTGTGACTTAAATTATTCAATCTGCAAACATCAAGGGTCTGCCTCTCTTCGCAAAAGCCTTACTTACTTAACTTGGTCTTCCCAGATAGACAGAGGGAGACAGATTTCCTACAAGTGAATATTTCAGAGAGTTGATACCCTTTATATGCCCAAGTTTTAAAAGGTTTTAACTGCTTGGGATGGCAATCTTCTTAAAATGGATTATATGTCCTTGTATTCTTAAAGCATGCTATACTGACTGTAATGGTTCCTTCTCTCCATTGTTTCAAGTCATACTGAGTATAACAGTGATTTACTATGATTTGGAACAGGAGTGGTCCTCAGACTTGTCCAGGAAGCAAAGCTCTTGAACGTCCGATAAAACAGAGAGGGAGTAAGTTTACGACAACTGATGCAATGCTGTGCTGTGTCAAAAATAATTTATACCAAATTTTAATATGAACAGTGGGAAATCGGTTCTCAATGCTCTAGAGATAGAGGGAGTCATTTCCCTGATCTATAGGCCAGGGAGCTTCTTATGGACTTTCCTTTTGTTTTGGTTATTTTACTTTATTAAAAAGAAGTTGTTGAGCTCCTGGTGTGTTGTATACTGTGCCAGGCATCATGTCTTCCTCACCTCTACCATTTCAACCCATGTGTCAAGTGCCAGTGGGACACATGGAGGGGACGTGACTACAGTCTTCAACCCCACGCACAGCTGACTACGTTAGATCTACTGGTCGATCATGATTGGCTTTTGGGGGGGGCTCCACTTCAGTGTTTGATAGCCTCTGATAAAGATTATTTGTTCAGCCACCCAGCCTTACCAAAAGGGAATTTATTTACAAAAGAAAGCAGAATATAAATGAAAAGAGGACATCTCTTGGCCAATCATTTGTTTTCCTCTCTTTATGATTTGCAAGGGCTCCCTAAGAAAAAAGAATAAACCTGTCAATGTCCTGAATTTGCAGCTCACGGTAATGAGTATTTTGATGTGTAATAAAACTTGATGTGACTCAGCAGATGCAGTAGCCAGGTTAGGAATCTTCTGACCTTGTTGGCCAGAAAGGCCACCACTCATAGTAGAATTCTTCAGGAGACAATAAAGGAGAACTTCTTTTTGCCATGATTTGATTCTCTGCATACAGGTCTGAAAAAGGGTCAGCTGCAGCCCTGCCCTGGGAGTCAGGAGACCTTGTTTCTAGTCTTGGCCCTGCCACTGTTTTGGCCTGCCTCCTTGGCCAAATAACCTGCCTTCCCTAGGACTTAAGTTTTCCCCTCTGTGAATTCTGAACTAGCTGTGAAATTCTGTGACCTGTGATTCTAAGACTATTCTAAGACTTACTCCTGTAAGTCAGTAAATATTTTAGGCTTTGCAGTTTATATGGTCATAACTCGTCCTACCTGTCATAACTGGTCAACTCTGCTGTGGCAGAAGGAAAGGAGCCACAGACAATACATAAACAAATGTGGATAGCTATGTTCCAGTAAAACTTTGTGACACTGAAATTTGAATTTTGCCTGATTTTCCTACAGTTATTCTTCTTTTGATCTTTTCTTCTACCATTTAAAAATGTGAAAATTCTTCTTAGCTCATGGGCCATCCAAGCAGGCAGCAGGATGGATTTGGCTCAAAGGCCTTAGTTTGCCAGCTCCTGAGTTAGGACAGTGATGACACAGCTCAGTGCGGTTGGAGAGTGAGACACAGTAGTCTGTAGTAATGGGTGAGCCTGCAGAGGTAGCAGAGGAGACAGCGTGGAGGGCCTTGGAAGCCTCACTAAGGAGTTTGAACCTTTCCTATGGGTAATGGGTGTGGCTGTTGTATATTCTTCAGTATGAAAGATATTAAGGGGTCAGAATCCATAGGTCTTGTTGACTGCCCACATCTGGGTGTGTGGGAGAGGACATGCCCTCCTTCACCTGTGCTTATCCAGGCCAGCTGCCTACTGTTCCTCCTTGAAGGCTTCCCTCTTTGCCCTGCCAAGTGGGATCACCCTTTGTGTGAACTCTCTAAACTTGGAATTTGCTAATGGCAGCGAGAACTCTTTTGGTGCTCAGCCTGTACAATCGTATCAAGTTCTCCCTCTTCTACCATGGACTCCAGTCATACCCAAACCATTTTCAGTCCTCAGAACAATCAGGGCTGTCTCCTGCCTCCTGGCTTCTCTACCTGCCACTTGCTGCACTGTCCTTAACAACTTGGTGAATACCGCCCAGTCTCTGGGGACAGTTCAAGTGTCACCTGCTCTGTGAAGGCATCTGGACCCCCTGGTGGACCTGCACATTTTCCTTCCTTTGTGCCTCTATTGGTCTGTGTGAGACATCTATCCCAGAAGCTGCCCGCCTAGGCTGTGAGCTCACAGTGGGCAGGGACTGATACAGAGTAAGCCTTCGGGTAGGGGCCTTGAATGAGGTGATGGCGATGATGACAGCCAGCATTAACTAAGCATTTAGCCTGTACCAGGCCCCATGCTCAAGGCTTCCCTTACATAATTCCTCATACAAACCCATTATTATTCCCACTTTACAGATAAGGAAGCTCAGGTTAAGTAATTTTCCCAAGACCATATAATCAGTGAGGACTTAAACCCAAGTCTACAGATCCCATCAGTTAATTACTACAGCAGAATCACACAAAACCCAGTCCTCCTCTGGTGGTCACCTGCAGCCAGTTGTCTATATGTCTGATGACTGGGTAACACTGATGTGGTTGACCAAAGACCTTGCTTCTGCACCAGCTGAATAAAACTCTTAACAGTGGCCCCACTCAACAGGCTTCAGTGGATGTGGGTGGCTGGAGGGGGAGGGAAAGAAGCTGGCTTGTGCAGAAGTGCTAAAGTGAATGTCTAGACTGGGCTGACATCATTTATCCCAGTTGCCTTTGTCTTTCCAGAAAGAAACTCAGTTTCCTGACTGGACCCCTGGCTGCAAGCAACTATTTCATAAATCTAGTGGTCAATTAGAAGGCAGCTGATGATGGGGTGACAGTTTGGGTCTTTGTCCTCATAAGCCACTCATTCTAGCTGCTTTTTTAAATATGTACTTACTGTGTACCAGGTTCAATGCTAGGTTACAAGGATACAGTGATACCGTGGTATGGCCCCTGACCTCAGAGAGTTTGTGCTTTAGCCCACTACTGTGTGTCATAACTACGCTAGGCACATCTGTGTACCAATATCCCTATTCCTCAGACATGCATCCAGCCATGGTAGATATCTGGCCAACTGTGAGAAGTACCTCCTGAGCAGTCTAGATAAATCACTCTGTCAGGGGAGATAGAGATTCCATCTGGCTGGGGAACTGGGAAAGGTTTTATAAGGGGGCAGCTTTTGAGCTGGCCCTTTGGGGCTTGGATTCAGGTACATGGAGAAGAGGTATTCCTGATTGGGTAAAAAGCTCAAGCAAAGATCTGCAGGTGGGGTGGGGGAAGGGATGGGGAGGAGTGACTTTGGCCAGCACCATAGGATAAACAACAGTTTTCAGTGGGAGGTAAGGCTAGAAAATGGGTTAGGAACTGGCTCTAGTGGGCCTTGAATTTTAATCCAGAGATTCAGGAGGATTTTAGCCTTGAGGGTGGTGGGGCCACCCCAGAAGTTTAAAAAAAAAAGCATTTAGCTCCCACTTCATGTATAAGCATCTTTGTCATGTGTAGTGCTTCTGTTCCCCCATATTTTATCTTTGCACCACAGTTCCTGGACCTTTCCTTCAACAGCCTAACTGCAGAGGCCATCTGTGATCTGGGGATTCTGCCGCACCTCCGTGTCTTGCTGCTCACGGGCAATGGGCTCACCAACCTGCCACCAGATTTGGCTGTTGCCGAGCAGTAAGTTCTACATCCCAGGGTCCATCCCATGTGTTTTTTCATAGCGATTGGGTATAAGTATTCAAGAGAATAGTCCAAAGCAGCTCAGGTGTGCTGTAATGACAGGCTGTGAGTGCTCAAAGCAGGGAGGATGCCTCCTACTGAAGCTCCTAGGAATGGCAGCCAAGAGAGCAGGGCCCCAAAGAATGAGTAGGCCTCAGATGGGTGTCCCACACTCCTCCGTGCTATTAGGAGAGACCAGGTGTTTAGCAGATCACCTTCCCTGCCTCTGGTTGGTCATTGATAAATCGTGGGTATTGCTTTTGCCACACTATTCCCCTTCATGAACTCTCTTAATAAACTTATATTCCCATTTTTTACCTTTGCTGAATGGGCAGAGGCCATGCCTTGTGGCCAGGATGTGCTTATTAGTCCTTCTTCTCTTAATAATAAAACCACATATGTAGTGCTCTAAAATTATTCCATCTTCAAAGAGGCACAGAATCTCAAACATAATTAAATTAATCATGGGGATGAAAGTATAGCATAGAGAATATAGTCAATAGTTCTATAACATCTTCTATGTTGACAGTAACTACACTAGCTGGGGTGAGCATTTAATAAAGTGAATAACTGTTGAATCACTATGTTATATACTTGAAACCAATATAATATTGTGTATCAACTATATTTCATTATAAATAAATAGAACAGGGAGATCATCCTGGACAATTGGTGGGCCCAAGGCAACCACATGAGTCCTTAGAAGCAGAAGAGGAAAGGAGAAGAGTCCATGAGATGTCTATGGATAAGATGAGGCCAGAGAAATGAGGCTGAAAGAGAGTGCAGAGAAAGGTGTGCAAAGAACTTGACCCACCATTTCTGGCTTGGAAGAGAGCCTCGAGCCAGGGTATATAGACGGACCCTGTGAGTTAAGAATGACTCCAAGACAATAGCCAGCAAGGGAACAGGACCTCAGTCGTACCATCACATGGGCCTGAATTCTGCCAACAGTTTGAATGAGTCTAGAAAGAGACTTTCCCCTAGAGCTCCAGAGAGTGGGAGGGAAAGCCTACTGATCCTGTGCTTTCAGCCTTATGAGACCCTTGGCAGAGAGCCATGCTGTGCTCATACTTCTGACCCATGAAAACTGTATGCTAATAAATATTATTTAAAAATAAAATAAAAAATAACCCCTACTTTATAGATAAGGAAAGTGAGGCACAGATAGGTTAAATAATTTGCCCAGGGTTACAAAGCTAATAAGTGGCAGATCCGAGAGTTGAACCAGGTCTGTCTCATTCCAGAGACCAAGCTTACGGCCATTACATTCCCTTCTTATGTAGATTCTGTACATTTTCCAAGGGCCAACTCAGAGCCTTCTCCTTTGACCAGAAACCTTTCTGACTGCTTTAGCCCATGCTTCTTCCTCCCTTCTTTAAGCATCTGTTGAGTTTAATGTTTTCCCAGTTAGTTTACAACTTAGTATATGCCATTGTGACTGCCTCATAAATACGTACATACTGTGTATTTATAATAGATAGGTAAATGGATGATATATATAGTCTCTCCAGATAGACTGTGAGCTCTATGAGGACAGATGCTCTGTCTTACTCATTGCTGATCTGAAGCACCTAGATGAGGAACCAGTGCTTTGCACAAGTTACTATTCAATGATGTTAACCTAATTTAGATGGTGATGGAGAAAGTCATGGGGATAATGTTCATTGCCATGATGTGATTATGGTGATGGGTTAAGATAATAGTAATGATCATTAATTAATAATAATGTGATCATTACATTAGGGATGTGACTAATCAAGGTTCTTTTGTTGCAAGTAACAGAAGTCCATTTCAAACTAGCTTAAACAAAAAGGGAAGTAATTGGATTATGTATCTGAAAAGTGCTAAAATGAATCTGCTGGATGCCTTTATGGCTTGACACAGGTACACAGGACGTTGTCAGGGCTCTGCATGCATCTTGGTCTATTTCTTGGGCATGTGTACAACTGCCCTCTTGTCTCTTACTCACTCTCCCAGGCACATGCACACATCTTTCTTTTCCTCAATATTGTCTTCTTCTTAGGCAGGCTTTCTTCATGACCAGACCTGTAACAGTCAGGGTCTAGTGAGGAATACAAAACCACTCAAGGTAATGCAAATTGATGGGAATTATTTATCTTAAGTAGGAAGAGATAATAATTGGTGTTTTATTATGGAAAATTTCAAACAACATAGAAATAGAGTCAATGGTGAAATGAACTTCCATGTACCCCTCACCTAATGATTATTGCTTGACAGTTATCAAGTCACACCCAATCTTGTTTCCTCTAGCCCCATCACACTTCACCCTAGATTGTTTGAAAGAAAAATCTCAAATGTATCCAGCCATAAATGAATTCATGTAATTTCAAGCAGTTGAATTCAAGCAGATTCATGTAATTTCATCAGTAAAATCCAGTGTGTACTTCTAAAAGACAAGGACTCTTTTAAAAAGCATAGCCAGAGTACCTTTATTCTACCTAAATATTACCAATAATAAACAGAGGAAATTAGTGCCATAGGTGGTAGAAGGTCTGGGAGTGCAAAATGGCAAATAGCGTTAATCGAAGATCAAAAGGGAAGAATAAGAGTTGATACCAAGAAATCAGAAGCCACTAACACTGCTGGCCAGGGGCCCACAATCTTATTCCTGCTCTGGGCTTTTAGGGAGGTCATTGCTGTAATTCTCCATCAGCAGCAGATATGCTGCCTAACCAGGCCTGGAACTTCTGCCAACACGACGCCACTACAAATACTGCCTTTGCTGCATTGCTGCTACTGCTGCCAAACACCACACGAGAGAGTTGCTTCTGCCCCTGCCTGGCCTTATATTCTCACAAGCCCCTCCATTGGCAGTACTGAGCTGGAAGCCACTTAGAAAGGCAGTCAGGGCACAGATGCAAAGAGTAAAAGTTAAAAGCAAATAAGCAGATGACTGGTACCATCCAACCCTCGGAAAGCCAACATCTACTCTTCTTTTCTTCATTTTTAATTTCCATACAACAAAAGCAACCACAACATGCTTTTACCTAACATGAAGGAGCAATTCTTATATGAAGAAGCCTTTCACCCTCTTGTAAAGGGATGAGACACAATTCCAACAACCACTTATCCATTCTTTGGATGATGTTATTTTGTCTTATAAAACAATCACAATCCCACCTGGATATTTTATAACCTAAAAACTAGTAAAGTTAATCACCACTAGCAATTTACACACACATATGCACACACACGCACACGCGCACACACACACACAAAAAACAAGCAAGGAAGAAATGCTACAACAGTCTTTTCTTAACTGGTCAGGAGGCCATAGCACATACTTATAAATCCTTTTTCCATCACCTCTTTAATGTTTCCTTTGCCTTCATCCAGCATCTCAGCTGGTTGGGGTCCTTTAAGTGATGTAGTAGCCTAAACAGTCACTCCTGAAGGGTTTGAGTCCTTATGGTCCTACTTTTAAAATGAGTTCCTGGCGTCTTCCATTAATTTTTTAAAATTTTGGTAAAACACATATAAAATGTACCATCTTAGCCATTTTTAAATGTACAATTCAGGGACATTAAGTACATTCATGTTGATATGCAACCATCACCACCACCTACTCCAGAATGCTTTCCTCTTGAAAAATTCCATTATCTTTGACTAATGGACATGACACTTCTAAGAGGAACACCATAAAACTCCCTGGATTCTAAACATATTCCTTTTTGCCCAAGGTACAACAGCAGTCATATCTACTTTTGCTAATCAGTATCAATCACCCAGCCAATATAGTAAAGCCCTCTGTTCCTGCCTATCGGTTTGGTGGAATGAGGAACCCAAGTGGCCAGTAGCAATCTCAATGTCCAGTTAAGTAGAACTATCCTTCGTGGCCCCTGTGAAAGTATTTCTCCCTAGGAAACCGAGACCTCTAAATCGGAAGAGCTCAAAGTTGCAGGAATGGGAGCAAAAATTCTGCAAGTAGGTACGTGTACAAGGCTTGGCTCTCATTTCCAGTCATTAATTCCTAGACCCTTACATTCTGGGTATGAGAAAAATAGCATCAGTATCAGTTGCTGGTTTATATGGTACCCTATCCTAAAGTCAGTACCCCAACTTCGCAGAGGGCAGTCTCCTAGCCAGTGCAATAAATAAGTTGTCAAGAGACTATTTTACCACCCTATTAGGTCAACTACTTCAGCATGGTAGGGTACATGGTTAAAAAAATGAATTCCATGTCTCTGAGCCTGTTATTGCACTTCTTTGCCATAAAATGTGTTCCATGGTTAGAAGCAATGTTATGTGAGGTGCCAGAATAATGAATAAGAAAGCATTCAATAAGTCCAGGGCAGAGAATGCAAATCCATATCCAAAATACATATTTACTGCTGTAAGGAAAAAAAAAATCACTGCTCCTTTTATGAAAGTGTGCACTGTAGCGTTCTCTGAGTAGATGGGGGCCTCTACTTTCCTCCCAGAAATGGAGCCATGTTAGGGACTCAGCATTGGCTTGTGCCACTGGCAAGCTGGGTACTCTGCTGGGGTGGTAGCCAGATCTGCTTTGGTCGAGGGGGACATGTGTAGCCTCCGTGCCTGCTGCCAGGGCCATTGTGCAAGCCCTGGGGTAGCCAAGGAGAGAAGAAGCCAAGTGACGTTCACAGAATGGGTCATCTTGTCCACCTGATCACTGAGAGTGTCCTCTGCAGTGGATGGTCTTTGGGAAGACTGTGTGATTCAGGTGCTCCTCGTACTCTCTGTCCATTCTTAAAGGTCCATCCATCCACACAATTTCCCCTCACTCCTCCATATCAGCAATTTTACATTACTTTTTCCAAGCTTTGACTGTTCAGCTACACCTTAGCCACTGCCCATGAACCAGCATAGACCTGTACTTCTGGCTCTCTTGCCCACCAAGCAAAATGGACAATCAGAGATATTACTCCCTATATTTTACCTATTGGGAGGATTTCTCTTCCCATCTTTCAGAACTACCC